ACAAATATATACCTCTAAACTAGTTCATACTGAAGCAAAACTGTTTTTTAGAATCCGGAAAGCGTTATGTTGATGGTATTGGTCCACCTCATAGACCTAGGCCATCCTATTATTGTTCTTGGTCCACCTCATTTAAGGAGTTGGTCTCCAATTAAATGCCCTGGCCCATTTATGGGCTGTCCTGCGACCAAGCCCACTCGCCTTTCTTTGTTTTGTGCTCAGCCCGTGAACTTGTGGTCCTTTGATATATTTGTCCGGTTGTGTCACGCCCCGGACCTACCCGGACACGTCAACAATCCGCCGTACAGTATGAATAGTCAACCGCAGTCCAACACATCCATACTACACAAGGCGTCTGGAATATCATTCACACATAGTGCATCCATAAACAAACATAATGTAAAATATTCATTTAAGCAGCAGAAACATTTGATACAAGTGTTCATGCCACACTTTGGCAAACATGGGCATACAAGCCCCAAATAAATATTTAAAAAATAATATCCATGAGCATTAATTAAAATGTTTGTAAAATAGGAACGGAGGAAGCACGAACCACGTCTCCTCTCCTTGGATCCTTCCGAAGTAACGGCGATGGTAGCAACCTTCAAGTTCTACATGAAACTGTGAGGTGGCCTCCCCCGTGAAGGGGAGGTCAGTACTTGGAAGCATTTGACAAGTACAATTGTTAGAGATATTTTCATTATATTGTGATCAATGTTACTTAGCCATTTTGTAATAGTTTATTTATTCATAGAATAGGCCTTAAATGGAAAGGCTACTAAGCTAAATCAGGAATGGGCCTCCTAAAAAGGAGAGCTCATATCATTGTAAAACCTACCATTCTAAGGAGGCTATAAATAGACCCCTTAGGAATGGCTAGGTTAAGCTTTTCAGATATTCTCATACCCTAGTGTCACAGTGCCTATATCGGTGATAGAAGTTTTACGCTAAGTTTTGTTCATCATTCTGTAAACTTCTTCATCATTCAATGGAAAGCTTCATTCCCATATTTGTCTTCCTTACTCATACATTTTAGAATAGAAAACAGGGACCTAACAACAATGACAACTATAGTAAGTATAATCAAAGTTTCAATTTTCCAAGACCCTCAATCTAGGGTGTTATTATTTTATAATTAATTCACGTTCCTTCATGCTAGAGCTCGGCTCATAGTCATACAAATTTGTGCTAGAGCTCGGCTCATAGTCACACTACATTTTGCTAGACCTCGGCTCATAGTCATACTACATTTTGCTAGAGCTCGGCTCATAGTCATACTACATTGTTGCTAGAGCTCGGCTCATAGTCATACTACATTTTTGCTAGAGCTCGGCTCATAGTCATACTACTACCACGTGTTAGAGCTCGGCTCATAGTCACGTCATCTAATCCCTAAACAACTTCTTAGTCTAGGCTCCATCCATTTTGAGTAACCCTTAAGGCCTACTCCTAATGTAACTTGAGTTCATAAAGTCCACCTTAAAAATATCTTTTAAGGTTACTTAGGGCGTACCCACCACAATTCAATATCTTGGGATTAACTCCAAAGAACCATCAAACTAACATTTCCGACTAGTATCTCTATACTAGTCGTTTGATCTTAATATAACAAATGCAAACTCATAATAGCTCGTATGTTTCAATTAAATTTCTACATTCAAGTATAATTTGGCTCTAATATCAAAATATCACTTTTATCCTTCCATGACTTCTTTACATGAGATAAAAGTATATTTATCACAATGAAATTCATGGTAGATCTGTAACCCCAGGTTATAGGTCTGCCGAGTAGAAACCCTAGAACAACGGTTGCATGTACAGTATCTGTTAGCACAGATCTGTAGAAACCCTAGGTGTGATTCGGATGTGCATGAGTGGTCCAATCTGTGTCGAACTTGGCCACTGATTGTCTGTGAACTTTGATTGGCTTATTAAATTGACTTTCTGTGTGTTGTGGTCTTTAATTTGCTACCTCCTCTGTGTTATTGCCTCTACACTCCCTCTGTATTGTTGTAGCTTGCCTTGTTACTGTTGTATTTGTCACTTCTCTGCTCAAGTCAGTCTTGTCAATTCCTGTTCTTATTGTTGAGTTCTGGTAATAGTGTGGCTTCTAACCCCTAGTTGGCTAGGGCACCTGAGGTTAGGGCTAAGTGATTCCCTGCCAGCCACTTCAGTGGCCCCGGAACTGCGTGGTCACTTAGTCCGCGCCCAAACCACTAGGGTTAGCCTTTATATTATCTGTATCTCAGCAGCTTAGTGTATTGACTGCTATCATGGCTTCAAACCTATATGGTATGATGCCTTTTAATGGTAAGACTGACTTTGATATATGGAAACGGAAAATAAAATGTGTGTTAATTCAACAGAAAGTGTATAGAGCTGTTACTGGACAATACTTAGAAACTGAGGATAAACCTAAACAAGTTGAAATGAATGAAACAGCCTACTCTACTATATACTTAAACCTGTCTGACTCTGTCCTTAGGAAGGTTGGAGTCATTGAGTCTGCTAAAGCCCTCTGGGACAAACTTGAGTCTCTATATACTGATACTTCCCTTCCTGGCAAACTGTTTTTGTTGGAAAAGTTTTTTAGGTTCAGACTTGACCTAACAAAAGATATTGATGAAAACCTAGATTTTTTTAATAAACTAATCCAAAACATTAAGCAGGCTGGGGATAAACATATAGATGACTACACTGCTATAGTTTTACTCAATGCTATACCTGATTCCTATAATGATGTTAAGTCAGCCATTAAGTATGGGAGGGATGACATGACCCTAGATATTGTTATTAATGGCCTGAGAAGTAAAGAACTGGACTTAAAACATTCTAGGAGTCATCACAGGGAATCTGGGGAAGCTTTGTTTGTTAGGGGAAGGTCTAAAAGCAAGTCTAGACACCCTAAAAAGGACAATCAGGATAAAAATAGTAGACAACCTGGTAAGAAGAGGTTCAAGTCTAGAAAAAGAGTCTGCTATAACTGTGGCAACCCAGGACATTACATTAAAGATTGCACCCTAACTAAAAAGAATGACCAGGCTAATGTTGTGACTAATAAGAATGTAGAAGATGAAGTCTTTATGGTATGTGATCAAGCTAATTCTGTGCTTAGTAGTCTGACTGAAACTGAATGGTTAATTGACTCAGGTTGTACCTACCATATGACCCCTTTTAGGAATCTGTTTTCCACCTATAACTTGTGTGAAACTGCCTTTGTCTCACTAGCTGATAGTAAAAGGTGTAAGGTCCTTGGTATTGGTGACATCTGTCTGAAATTTGAAAATGGAACTGTTTTTCAAATAAAGAATGTTAGACATGTACCTGATTTAAGGCATAACCTACTTTCAGTCTCTGCTTTTGAAGAATGTGGTTTTGAGGGTAAATGGGGGAATGGGTGTATGAAGATTTTGAAAAACTCACATGTTCTATTCAAAGCCTTGAAACAGAATAATCTGTATTTTGTTCATGCTAAACCTTTTTCTGAAAATGCTAATGCTGTACTTAGTGACAAGTCTGTGCTTTGGCACCAAAGACTCGGTCACATGAGTAATAAAGGTTTAAATCTTTTACAAAAAACTGGGTGTTTTGGAACTGACTTGGTGTCACCATTCTGTGAAGGTTGTGTTCTAGGTAAGCAACATAGGGTTCAATTTCTTGTCTCTAGCTATCCTAGTGAGCCTAAGTCTAAAGATATCCTTGACTACATACATGCTAATGTATGGGGTCCTTCCAGTGTCCCTACCCATGGGGGTAGGAGGTATTTCCTGTCCATAATTAATGATTTTTCTAGAAAGGTCTGAGTCTGTTTGCTAGAACATAAATCTGATGTGTATTCTAAGTTTAAGGAGTGGAAGGTTCTGGTAGAAAACCAATCTGGCAGTAGAGTTAAAACCCTTAGAACTGATAATGGATTAGAATTCTGCAATAAGGGTATGGATAGGTTGTGTACTGAGAGTGGGATTAGAAGACACAAAATTGTGCCCTATACTCCCCAACAAAATGGTTTGGCTGAGAGAATGAATAGGACCCTCCTAGACAAGGTTAGGAGTATGCTTGCCACTTCTGGCCTCCCCAAGAAGTTCTGGGGAGAAGCTGTCAACACTGCCACCTACTTGATCAATAGGTCTCCTTCTGTACCCTTAGAGGGTAAATGCCCTTAGTCTGTTTTCTCTAAGAAACCCCTTGACCTGTCAAACTTAAAGGTGTTTGGGTGTGCTGCCTATGTACACCAACAGACTGACAAGCTGGACCCTAGGTCTAAAAAGTGCATTTTCTTAGGCTACCCTGAAGGGGTAAAAGGGTATAGGATCTGGGATAGAAATCAGAGTGGTTTTAAGGTCATTATAAGCAGAAATGTTGTGTTTAATGAAAGTGATTTCCCCTGCTTAGTTAAGACTGTGTCTGACCCTCAAACTGAACCTGATGGCACCCCTCCCAGTGAGGTGGAGCCTATCCCGACCACTGCTGCCCCTCTGTTAAATGAGTTTGTTACTCCTGACTTGACCAGTGAGGTGGAGCAGCCCAGTGGATCTAATAATAATGATGACAATATGCATGATGTGTTTACTGAAAATGACTCCACTGATGATAATGACCATTTTGAAACTGCTACTGATAGTCAAGGTCTTGAAGACTATCAGTTAGCCAAAGATAGGGCTAGAAGGAACATTAGGAAAATATCTGATAGCATGACTGACTATGCATTTCACCTATATGATACTTCTTTGTTTGCCTTCTCTGTCTTTGAAACTCTTGAGTTGAATGAACCTAAAACCTACCAGGAAGCTCTTGCCTCTAGAGAATCTAAAAACTGGCTTAATGCTATGCAAAGTGAAATAGATTCTCTTAAGTTGAATAAGACCTGGACCCTAGTTCCTAGAACTCCTAATTGTTCTGTTGTTGTGTCACGCCCCGGACCGCATCCGTGCCACGTAGACAACCGCCGTACAACCCAATAAGAACAACGTAGTTCATTCTTATCAAATCATACAAGGCGTCCGAAAGATTCTATTGCCAAACCGATTAGTAAACCCATACAATCAACATCAATATATAAATCAAACACATGCGGAAATAAAGTATGTTTGACATTTAGCCACACGTGGCAAACATGAGCACGCAGGCCCTTCAATAGTTTAATAGAAAACATCGTTCAAATATCCATGAGCAATTTCATAATTTCAAATAAGAATGGAAGCACGAACCACGTCTTCCTTATTTGAGTTCACCCTAGGCAAAGGTGCAGGTAGCAGGACTCTAGCCTTAACCTGAAAAAATGTGAGGGCCCCCGAAGGGGTCAGTACTCCATAGAAGTACTAGTGACAAGCAGGCTATATGAGGAATAACTAATGTCTCAGACACGAGACCCAAAAATAGGATGATACATATATTTATAGGTGTAACCATTGTCACCCCATTCCCAAGATAATACATACTGTATATACTTGTAAAATACTTGACCCGTAGGTCGTTTTCTCACAAAAGAGTCTTTTAGAGACAAGGTACTTACCCAACCTTTCCCCTTTCATTCCTGAATGCCTAGCTTAAGAGCTACATTCTACCTTCATAATATCCTACCGAGTTTCAGGAGTGTTAACCCTCCCGGGGATACTCAACCCCATCCGAGTTTTGGGATCATTTACCGTCCCGAGGATGCTCAACCTCAACCGAGTTTTAGGATCATTTACCGTCCCGAGGATGCTCAACCTCAACCGAGTTTTAGGATCATTTACCGTCCCGAGGATGCTCAACCTCAACCGAGTTTTAGGATTGTTTACCGTCCTGAGGATACTCAACCTCACCGAGTTTTAGGATCATTTACCGTCCCGAGGATACTCAACCTCAACCTTATTTCTAACCAAACCCTAACCTGGATATGGCTAACCTTGCATTCACTTAACTATGGACAATACCTAGTCCTACAGTCATATAATAATCCTTAGTAACCAACGTGGACGGGTCCCACCTGATCGATCCACGTTAACCCACTCAAAAACTACCCGTTTTGAGTATAACCCAATACTCGATCGAGTACCCATCAATACTCGGTCGAGTACAGGAGACAGGAGCCCATAAGGCTAATTTTCAAGGCATACTCGATCGAGTATCTATCCATACTCGATCGGGTATAGGAGACAGCGGCCCTTGGGGCCAATTTTTCAGCAGACACCCGGTCGGGTATTGTAGTTGACTTGGCGGTCAACGCCCGTTTGACCGCCCAAACGGAGTCCGATTAACGTGAAATTTTACATGCATAATCTACTTGAAGTCCTTGATCCAAAAATACCATTTTTGACCCCTGGATCATTGTACATAATAAGTTATCACATTTTTAATCACCAAACATACAAAACATGCTTTTCAACTTTGTTTTATATATAATCATGGCATAAGCCAATACTTGATTAACTTTAATCATTCCGTAAAACATATACTTGATTACTTTAGGTAATCTCATGCCTCAATCAAAAGTTATAAAGCATATAGCCGTCTTCTCACCTTAATGAAGCTTATGAAGTTCTAGCCTCTCCGATTTGGCCCCGGTGAAACTCCGGCGAACTTCAACAACTCCGGCGACAACTCCGGCGACCCTTTCAACTCCGTGGAAGTTCTTGAAGTACCTTATACAAGTTAAAAACAAGGTTTTATCATCATAAAACCCATATCAACACAAATAACCTCAAAAAGGTTATTTTCCGGTGAAACGGTCGACTTTGTTCTCTCAATCCATTTTGGGTATAAACCAACCCTCCAACTCCCATTCTACACTTTTACATGGGTAGAAATCTCCTAGGAGTATGAGATATGATTAAAGAGAAGAAATGGGATTAATGAAGTCATTACTTCTTTAACCACAAGTTTTCCCACCTAAAACTCCTCTTTTCCCTTCTCTTTTCCTTTCTTCTTCTTCCCCTTGTTCTTGGTGCGTGTGAGGATAGTAAGTATGGGGTTTGAAGAGCTTCTCTCAGCTATGGAAGTGGTATGGCCGAGTTGTATGAATTTGGGGTGATGGGGAATGCCTTTTTGGCATTTCTCATAATAATATCAAGGGTGAGGTCCACTTGCTTCATTGATTGGCCTTCCAATCAATTTCCTGCTTGCTCCTCCACATTAGTGTGCGGCTCCCCCTTGTCATTTGTAGACTAAAAACGTGGGGATGGCCCCCACTTAGATGGGTGGTCATCCCTTTGTGTCCCCAAGTGTACATTCGGTCCCGAAAGTTGTATTTTCCGGACTGTTTTAATTGTATTTCATTTTATCGGGTAAAATGAAATATCTATCATTCTTCCAATTATTATCGGCTACAAGAATGAATGTACATCCCCCAGCTTTTAATTTGATGGTCTCCATAATTTATTATGGCTTTTATCTGTCAGTACGACGGTACCGGTAAATGGGCTTTATTTGCCCAAAAGGTTACTCACATAACTTTTATGGCCCAACAAGGATACCCACCATTACATACATATTATCTTGACCCAAACAAATATAATATGTGGTCCCGATAATATCGGGTGGCCCCCACTTCCGGTGTGGGCCCCACGTGAGTTCTATTATTCACGTAAGAGAAATGATAAAAAATTTACAATTACGTAAAATGTGTTTATTCACTTCCCAGAGTTCAATACATAATTTGGTAAAGTACAAATACTTGGGGGCGGTGTTACAAGTTCTACCCCCCTTATTTGGGATTTCGTCCCCGAAATCCACGTGTCTAGTCAAACAGAAATGGATATTGTTCCCTCATCAGGGTCTCCACTTCCCAAGTTTGCTCCTCAACACGATCACTCTTCCAAAGTACCTTCACCATCGGTACCTCTTTACTCCTTAGCTTCTTTACCTGTCGGTCCATGATCTTTACCGGCTGCACCGCATAGTGAAGGTCTTCCCGGATTTCCACCGGTGGTTTCTCAAGAATATGTGACGGGTCCCGTACATACTTCTTGAGCATAGAAACATGAAATACATTATGAATCTTTTCTAATTCTGGAGTTAACTGAAGCCGGTACGCTACAACCCCAATCCTTTCAATGATTTTGAATGGGCCTATGTAGCGTGGGTTAAGCTTACCCCGACTGAGGAACCTGATGATCCCTTTCCAAGGTGACACCCTCAGAAATACCTCATCGCCGACCTCGAACTCTAACGTCCTTCGTCGTTTATCTGCATAGTTCTTCTGCCGATCTTGGGCAGCCTTGAGTCTATCCTGAATAACTTTCACCTTCTCCTTGGTGATCTCAACTAGCTCGATGCCCTCAAGCTTAGCCTCGCCTACCTCATCCCAACACAAAGGTGTCCGACATTTCCTCCCATACAATGCCTCGTATGGAGGCATGCCTATACTTGCTTGGTAACTGTTGTTATATGCAAATTCCACCAAGGCCAATTGGTTGTCCCAACTTCCTTGGAACTCTAAGGCGCATGCCCTCAACATGTCCTCCAAAATCTGAATCACCCGTTCAGATTGCCCATCAGTTTGAGGATGGAATGCCGTGCTAAACCTCAACTTCGTTCCCATGGATTCCTGGAACTTGGGCCAAAACCGTGATGTGAACCGTGGGTCTCTATCCGACACTATGGTGACCGGAACTCCATGCAGCCTCACGATCTCATCAGTGTACAACTTGGCCAGTCGCTCAAGGGTATAAGTAGTGTTAATAGGTAGGAAATGAGCACTCTTGGTCAACCTATCAACCACCACCCATACCGCATCATAGTTCCTAACCGTCCGTGGCAAACCTACCACGAAGTCCATAGTAACATGCTCCCACTTCCATTCTGGGATGGTAAGTGGCTGTAATAACCCCGCCGGGTGCTGGTGCTCTGCCTTAACCTGCTGACAGGTAAGGCAACGACTCACATATTCTGCAATCTCTCTCTTCATTCCCGACCACCAGTAACTTTCTTTCAAGTCCCGGTACATCTTTGTTCCACCTGGGTGCATGGCATACGCAGATGAGTGAGCCTCCTCAAGAATAGATTTCTGGAGCCCCTCATCTGACGGCACACACACTCGCTCCTTGAATAGTAGGAGTCCATCTTCTCTCTCACGGAAACCCTCGACGGGTCCCACCAGCATCCGTTCCCGGATTTTCTGAATTTCCTCATCATTGCCTTGACGCGTCCTGATTTCGTCTAACAAGGTGGGTCTCACCTCAAATCTGGCCAATAGAGCCCCATTCGTGGATACCTCCACGCGTGCCCTCAATGCTTGCAAGCATGAGAATAAAACCCCCGATGAACTCTTTCTACTAAGAGCATCGGCTATCACGTTAGCCTTCCCTGGATGATAGTCTATAATCAAGTTGTAATCCTTGATTAACTCCATCCATCTTCTCTGCCTCATGTTCAACTCTTTCTGAGTGAACACGTACTTCAAACTTTTGTGATCAGTATAAATGTGACACACCTCACCGTAGAGGTAATGCCTCCAAATCTTCAAAGCAAATACCACAGCTCCTAGCTCAAGGTCATGTGTGGGGTAATTCACTTCATGCTTCCTCAGTTGCCGAGAAGCATAAGCAATTACCTTCCCAGATTGCATCAGTACGCACCCAAGCCCCTGGATGCTAGCATCGCTATAAATATCATACCCCAACCCTTGCACGGGTAGAGCAAGTACTGGTGCCTCAGTCAACCGTTTCTTTAGCTCAAGAAACCCCTTCTCACACTTGTCATCCCACACAAACTTAGCCCCCTTTTTAGTGAGCTTCGTGAGTGGAGATGCTATTACGGAGAACTTCTCCACGAATTTGCGGTAATACCCCGCTAAACCAAGGAAACTCCTTATTTCCTTTACATTCTTGGGCCTCTCCCAATTAGTGACTGCTTCAATCTTCGAGTTATTAACAGAAATGCCCGAACCTGATACCACATGCCCGAGAAAACCGATCTCCCCAAGCCAAAATTCACACTTAGAGAATTTGGCAAAGAGTTGCTTCTCCCGCAGTGTTCCAAGTACGAGCCTTAGATGTTTCTCGTGTTCTTCTTCGTTCTTGCAGTATATCAAGATGTCATCTATGAACACTATGACGAATTGGTCCAAGTATTGATGAAATACTCGGTTCATGAGGTCCATGAATGCCGCGGGGGCATTTGTAAGCCCAAACGACATCACTAGGAACTCATAGTGACCATACCTTGTACGGAATGCACTTTTGGGTATGTCACTCTCCTTGATCCTTAGTTGATGGTAGCCCGACCTCAAGTCGATCTTGGAGAACACGGTTGCCCCCCGTAATTGATCAAACAAGTCGTCAATCCTTGGCAAAGGATATTTGTTCTTTATCGTGACCTTGTTCAATTGACGGTAGTCGATACACATTCTCATTGTGCCATCCTTCTTCTTAACAAAGAGTACCGGTGCTCCCCATGGTGAATGACTCGGTCTAATGAATCCGTTATCTAGTAGCTCTTCCAATTGAACTTTCAACTCTTGAAGTTCAGCCGGTGCCATTCGATACGGAGGAATTGAGATGGGTTTGGTGCCTGGTTCAACCTCGATCTCAAACTCAATCTCTCGATCTGGTGGGAGTCCCGGGAGTTCTTCCGGGAAAACTTCTGGATACTCACTCACCACTCTTACTTCCGTGAGACTCTTCCCTTTGCCTTCCTTGCCTACGACATAGGCTAAGTAAGCATGACATCCCTTCCTCATCATATGCCTTGCCCTCATAGCCGATATGATGCAAGGGTTGAATTTCCCTCTATCTCCCTCGAAGCATAGGGTGTTCCCTTCGCCATCTTTTAGTTCTAACACCTTGGTGTAGCAATCTACCTTCGCGTGGTGTTTTTCAAGCCAATCCATGCCCAGTATAGCATCAAACTCAAGCATGTCTAACGGCACAAAGTCTCCCATTAGACGATGCTCCCCTATCTCCACATTACATGAGGGATAGTAGTGTTTCCTTTCCACGTCATCTCCCAATGGTGTAGAGACCAGCAAGGGTTGCGCCATTGCTACTAACGGCATGCCCAATCCCTTGGCGAACGCTTTGCTCATAAATGAACGTTGCGCTCCGGTGTCGATGAGAATTCTCGCCTGTGTACCATTGATCTTTAGTGTTCCTACATATACAAGCCATGTAAGAAACACCACCCATCGTCCGGAGTGAAAAGGAGCTGAAAGAAAAATTAGGCTTGGAGTTGTTCTATACCCGGTCGGGTACTAGCCTATACCCGGTCGGGTATTGCCCGATTCCCCAAGGAAGAAATTTCCTGTCAGTTTTGCTCGATCGAGTACCCACCTCGTACTCGAACAACTACACTATACTCGGTCGGGTATATGTCCATACCCGGTCGGGTATTGCTCAAACTGTTAATCACATTGCTTTCTGCCCACGACGTTCGATCGAGCACACGCCTTAAAAAACAAAATTTTACTAATACTCGATCGAGTATCATACCATACCCGATCGAGTATGGCTGGATTTACCAAAATCGAAGGGTTCTGCTAAACTTGCTCGAACGAGTACAAACCTCGAACCTGAAGAATTCCCCATACCCGGTCGGGTCTATAGGGATACCCGGTCGGGTATAACACATTTTTTCGAATGTTTTACTTCAAACGAATGAATAAAACGCATGTGAGGTCAAAAGATTACCTGCAATGGAGTCCGGGTTGGCCCGAGCGTCAGCCTCGGTCATTGCGTACACCCGTGCCTGAGTCCTCCCTTGGTTAACGGACGCGGCGTTACTAGCCGTGGGTCCGCCCCTTCCCGTGCCGCCCTGAGATGGTCCCGCACGACCCCTACCAGACGTGGGTGCCTCAACAGCTCCCGATGGCCCACCTCCACTCAACATTGGGCAAGAGAGTTTGAGGTGGCTTGTGCTACCACACTTGTAGCACCGGGGTGGTTCATTGCACTTCCCGGAGTGATTCCTGTTACAGTTTGGACACCTTGGTGGCCTCACGCTCCCCGAGCTATGCCCTTGCCCTCCTGGGCCCTTACTCTTCTTTGCCGGTGGTTCCGGCGCCCTGAATGATCTTCCATTCCCGGCGTGATGTTTCCGAGAATGGTCTTGGGGTCCAGAATTTCCCCACCTTCTCTTCTTTGCCTCTTCGGCTTCTCTTTTCTTCCTTTCATTCCACTTGGCTTCCCCAAGTAGCCCTTGATCCACAATCTCACTAAAAGTCATGCAATGATTGTAGGTGGCCCTATCACGGATATCCAACTGTAGGGTATCCCAGAAGTGATTAGCCATGCGGTTCTCATCCATGGCGTACTCAGGTATGTATCGTGCCAAGTCCCGGAATCTCTGCTCTAATTGCCTCACCGAGCAACCCTCCTCTTGTACCAAGGTCATGTACTCCTTCCTCTTTTGGTTCTTCTCGAACTCTGAGTAGTACTGATTATAGAATTCCACTTCAAATTTCTCCCAGGTGGTCTCACCGTGGAACTTTCCTTCCACGCCTTCCCACCATACCGCGGCTACTGCCTCCAGTAACCTGGTAGCAACTGTCAGCTTTATATCAAGCCCGACCTGCATATCCCTAGCAGCCTCATTTAGTTTCTTGATCCAGTCGGCAGCCACAGATATGTCGCCCTTGCCATCGAATGACTTACACCCCAAGGCCCTCGCCTCCTTGAGGTATTTGGAGATTCTTACACAGAAACCTCCTCCTTGTACCCCCTGTGTCGCCACAGGAATGACCACTGAAGCTCCCTGGCTTCCCTGACCCGAACCTCTCTGAGAAGCACGCCTAGCTTGGCGCCTAAGATCTCTTCTTAGTTTCTCTTTTTGATACCACTCAAACAATTCACCCATCTGGGCGAACTTGGCATCACTCTCATCGTTGTCATCATCGGTGTACGTATCACCCCCATCATATGGGGTCTCCTCATGTTCCGTCTCGGGAACATATGTAGAGTCGAAATCCTCGGTGTGAGTTCCGTGCACCGAGCTAACATGGCCATCGCTCACGGTGTGAGCCCGACGGCCTCCCCGGCCTCCGCGGCCTCCACGGCCTCTCCTACCGCCTCTCGCGCCCCGAGATGCAACCTGGCTAGCCCCTTCGGACGTCACCGGAGTTTGCCCTCTCGGGTTGTTCCTCGTAGCCATGTCTCTACCCTCCATTTCTGAAAGAAATTTGGAATGAGCCGTTAGACTCGTATCAATGTCAATTGACGGAATAGTACAAAAGACACCACTTGGTCCAACATTATGGCCAACAAACTGTTAAGGGTACCGTCTTAACAACAAGAGCTCAATAACTCGGTTTCCAACGGTTCCTTAAGTACAAAAACTTTTGCTCATGGTTTTGCTCAAAACATTTTTGATGATACTATATTGAGAGGTTAATTATATAGTTTAGAAATCGATGGCTCTGATACCATTTAATTGTCACGCCCCGGACCGCATCCGTGCCACGTAGACAACCGCCGTACAACCCAATAAGAACAACGTAGTTCATTCTTATCAAATCATACAAGGCGTCCGAAAGATTCTATTGCCAAACCGATTAGTAAACCCATACAATCAACATCAATATATAAATCAAACACATGCGGAAATAAAGTATGTTTGACATTTAGCCACACGTGGCAAACATGAGCACGCAGGCCCTTCAATAGTTTAATAGAAAACATCGTTCAAATATCCATGAGCAATTTCATAATTTCAAATAAGAATGGAAGCACGAACCACGTCTTCCTTATTTGAGTTCACCCTAGGCAAAGGTGCAGGTAGCAGGACTCTAGCCTTAACCTGAAAAAATGTGAGGGCCCCCGAAGGGGTCAGTACTCCATAGAAGTACTAGTGACAAGCAGGCTATATGAGGAATAACTAATGTCTCAGACACGAGACCCAAAAATAGGATGATACATATATTTATAGGTGTAACCATTTTCACCCCATTCCCAAGATAATACATACTGTATATACTTGTAAAATACTTGACCCGTAGGTCGTTTTCTCACAAAAGAGTCTTTTAGAGACAAGGTACTTACCCAACCTTTCCCCTTTCATTCCTGAATGCCTAGCTTAAGAGCTACATTCTACCTTCATAATATCCTACCGAGTTTCAGGAGTGTTAACCCTCCCGGGGATACTCAACCCCATCCGAGTTTTGGGATCATTTACCGTCCCGAGGATGCTCAACCTCAACCGAGTTTTAGGATCATTTACCGTCCCGAGGATGCTCAACCTCAACCGAGTTTTAGGATCATTTACCGTCCCGAGGATGCTCAACCTCAACCGAGTTTTAGGATTGTTTACCGTCCTGAGGATACTCAACCTCACCGAGTTTTAGGATCATTTACCGTCCCGAGGATACTCAACCTCAACCTTATTTCTAACCAAACCCTAACCTGGATATGGCTAACCTTGCATTCACTTAACTATGGACAATACCTAGTCCTACAGTCATATAATAATCCTTAGTAACCAACGTGGACGGGTCCCACCTGATCGATCCACGTTAACCCACTCAAAAACTACCCGTTTTGAGTATAACCCAATACTCGATCGAGTACCCATCAATACTCGGTCGAGTACAGGAGACAGGAGCCCATAAGGCTAATTTTCAAGGCATACTCGATCGAGTATCTATCCATACTCGATCGGGTATAGGAGACAGCGGCCCTTGGGGCCAATTTTTCAGCGACACCCGGTCGGGTATTGTAGTTGACTTGGCGGTCAACGCCCGTTTGACCGCCCAAACGGAGTCCGATTAACGTGAAATTTTACATGCATAATCTACTTGAAGTCCTTGATCCAAAAATACCATTTTTGACCCCTGGATCATTGTACATAATAAGTTATCACATTTTTAATCACCAAACATACAAAACATGCTTTTCAACTTTGTTTTATATATAATCATGGCATAAGCCAATACTTGATTAACTTTAATCATTCCGTAAAACATATACTTGATTACTTTAGGTAATCTCATGCCTCAATCAAAAGTTATAAAGCATATAGCCGTCTTCTCACCTTAATGAAGCTTATGAAGTTCTAGCCTCTCCGATTTGGCCCCGGTGAAACTCCGGCGAACTTCAACAACTCCGGCGACAACTCCGGCGACCCTTTCAACTCCGTGGAAGTTCTTGAAGTACCTTATACAAGTTAACAACAAGGTTTTATCATCATAAAACCCATATCAACACAAATAACCTCAAAAAGGTTATTTTCCGGTGAAACGGTCGACTTTGTTCTCTCAATCCATTTTGGGTATAAACCAACCCTCCAACTCCCATTCTACACTTTTACATGGGTAGAACTCTCCTAGGAGTATGAGATATGATTAAAGAGAAGAAATGGGATTAATGAAGTCATTACTTCTTTAACCACAAGTTTTCCCACCTAAAACTCCTCTTTTCCCTTCTCTTTTCCTTTCTTCTTCTTCCCCTTGTTCTTGGTGCGTGTGAGGATGGTAAGTATGGGGTTTGAAGAGCTTCTCTCAGCTATGGAAGTGGTATGGCCGAGTTGTATGAATTTGGGGTGATGGGGAATGCCTTTTTGGCATTTCTCATAATAATATCAAGGGTGAGGTCCACTTGCTTCATTGATTGGCCTTCCAATCAATTTCCTGCTTGCTCCTCCACATTAGTGTGCGGCTCCCCCTTGTCATTTGTAGACTAAAAACGTGGGGATGGCCCCCACTTAGATGGGTGGTCATCCCTTTGTGTCCCCAAGTGTACATTCGGTCCCGAAAGTTGTATTTTCCGGACTGTTTTAATTGTATTTCATTTTATCGGGTAAAATGAAATATCTATCATTCTTCCAATTATTATCGGCTACAAGAATGAATGTACATCCCCCAGCTTTTAATTTGATGGTCTCCATAATTTATTATGGCTTTTATCTGTCAGTACGACGGTACCGGTAAATGGGCTTTATTTGCCCAAAAGGTTACTCACATAACTTTTATGGCCCAACAAGGATACCCACCATTACATACATATTATCTTGACCCAAACAAATATAATATGTGGTCCCGATAATATCGGGTGGCCCCCACTTCCGGTGTGGGCCCCACGTGAGTTCTATTATTCACGTAAGAGAAATGATAAAAAATTTACAATTACGTAAAATGTGTTTATTCACTTCCCAGAGTTCAATACATAATTTGGTAAAGTACAAATACTTGGGGGCGGTGTTACATGTTGAGTGCAAATGGCTTTTCAAAGTTAAAGAAGAACCTAATGACATTAGGTTTAAGGCTAGGTTAGTGGCTAAAGGTTTCACTCAAAAGAAGGGGTAGACTATGCTGAAATTTTTGCTCCAGTAGTAAAATTTACCACAATTAGGATGATGCTTGCCCTAGTTGCCCATAATAACTGGGAGATGAAGCAAATGGATGTTACCACTGATTTCTTGCATGGTGACCTAGACAAAAAGATATACATGACCCAGCCTGAGGGTTTTATAGACCCTAAGAACCCTAGTCATGTCTGTTTACTTAAAAAGGCCCTCTATGGCCTGAAACAGTCTCCCAGACAATGGAATATAAAGTTTGACCAGTGTATGACTTCCCTAAGTTTCAAAAGGTCTGATTCTGACCCTTGCTTGTATTTTAAGAATACTGCTTCTGCACCTGTTTTCTTGTTGATCTATGTTGATGACATGCTTATCATTAGCCCCTCTGTGAATGTCATTAAGACTGTTCAAAAGTGTCTTTGTGAAAACTTTGCTATGAAAGACCTTGGAGATGCTAAGAGAATCCTAGGGATCAATATAATTAGGGATAGGAGTATATGTACCCTTACTCTGAACCAAACCTCCTATCTAGATAAGGTCCTAAGAAGGTTTAATCTTGACTCTGCCCAGCCTGTAAATGTTCCTTTAGCACCGCATTTTGTGCTAAGCAAGGACCAGTCCCCAAGGACTGCTCCTGAGATAGATAGGATGAAGTCTGTACCCTATTCCAGTGCTATAGGGTCAGTCATGTATCTCATGGTAAGCACAAGACCGAATGTAGCTTATGTTGTTAGTTGCTTAAGTAGATATATGGCTAACCCTGGTATGTCTCACTAGACTGCCCTTAAATGGCTTCTTAGATACCTTAAGGGTACTACTTCCCATGGTCTTGTGTTT